AAGACCGCCTTTCTACTGGCTCCTCGGCCGGTGGAACAAGGTGCCAAAACCGTGGCGGTGGTGCCGCCCAGGATCATGACTGATTTTGGGATTACCCAACCGGATGAGGTCTGGCTTGTCGACAAGGCCCTGTATGGGTTTCAATCCAGTCCTGCCCATTGGGCAGTGTACCGCGACCAAACAATGCGGCGGTTCACATGGCAGGGAGATGCAAGCCCGGGGGAGTTGCAGAAGGAGTACAAGCTGGAACAAACGCCGGAAGGAAATTTGTGGAGAATCCTGTGTAAAGGTGGTGACGCTCCGGGAGAAGAAGTACGTCCTGATGGATATCGGCAAGTGGGTTTGGTGGTCGTCTATGTGGACGATCTTATGGTTCTTGCTGAACCTCACGCCAAACACAGCTTCCTGAAGAGGCTGAAGGAAGAATGGACTTGCTCCACTCCTGAAGAAGTTGATCACGAAGGCTGGGTTCGATTTTGTGGGTTCGAGCTCCAATGGAGCGGTCAAGGGGATCAAAAGAAGTTGAAAGTGGGACAGCAGTCCTACACTCGGGATCTGTTGAATCGACATCAAGTAGAACACCCAAGACCGGTTCCGATGACGAAAGCGGATGCCGAACTTCCGGAAGAAGAACAACCAGCACTTGAAAACATCCGACAAGCTCAAACGGTGGTGGGCGAGTTGTTGTGGTTGTCCATAAGGACAAGGCCGGATATCAGTTTCGCCGTCAGCCAATTGGGAAGGCAGGTGAACAAACGGCCCAAATGGGTGGTGAAAACCGCACAACAGGTGTTTGGTTACCTGAAGGGAACCGAAACTCAACATCTCAGCTATGGGGTTTGCACAAGTGATGATCGTGGTCCCGAAGATGACCTGCCATTTCACCGGGAGATGCAGCAAGTCGAAATGTTCTCGGACATTTCATTTGCCCCTGCGGGCGAAAGATCACTGCAGGGTATCCTAGGTTTTTATGGTGGAGGGTTGGTTCAATGGGAAGCCAGCCGTCAAGCTTTTGTGGTGTTGAGCACCGCCGAAGGGGAACTGATGTCCTACTTGGAATCCATGGTCATGGGAGACTCTCTGGCGTCTCTCATAGAGGTCGTGGAAGGACGGAAAATCGGGCAGAAGATCATCTACGGAGACAACACGGCTGCAATAGCCATCTTGGAAAATCCTGACGGTCCGTGGAGGACTCGGCACTTGCGGTTGCGAGCAACAGCCCTAAGGGAAAGGTTAAAGGATGGTAGTTGGATCATCCGTCACCTTCCAGGGGTAAAACTTGTGGCCGATTTCCTGACGAAGATCATCGCTGTGAAGCCCAGTTGGGAAAGGTTCTGGAGGTTCGTCAATCACCAAGGTTCCGGGGTTCCAAATGAGGAAACATCAATGGGGTCCAACCATCGTGAAGAACAACCTCTGGGAGAAGAACAACGTCCAGAAGAACCAGACCAGGAGACTTCCTCCTGGGACAACTACCGAGATATCGCTGGTCGGTGCGTATCAGTGGTGAAAAAGGTGGTTGGTCTGGCCGAGGAATATCCAGAACTAGCCGATTTCCGGCATGAAGCCTTGAGCACTGCCATTGGAAGGCTGGTGCGAGTACTGGCTGATGCGTATCGCGTCACTGAATCCGTGGTCAAGGATCGGTTCCAGTTGGAGTCGGTCTTACCGTTTTTGGAGAAGAAGAACATTCCTGGACAAGTTGAACACCCTGTAGAAGAAGAACCTAGGGGTATTCTAAAACGGGGTACTAGGTCCAAAAGGGGTAACCCAAAACCTAAACGGGTTTATTTTTGGGATGAAAATCCACCAGTTTTGAAAGTTTTGCGGGTACAAGATCATCACGGTCATGTTGCCCAATTGCACAGTTATGAAAAAGAAGAACCCATCCCTAAGACCATCCTGGGTGATGGACAAGAGAAACCTTGGGACTTGGATTGTGCCAGGTCCGATCGAGAAGAACATCGAGCTGCTGAAGTTGTACCAAGGTCGGGTTCCACAGAACCGTGGGATCTGGTTGCAACTTGGGGAATTGGGTTTTTGGGGAATTCTGATGTGGTAGGTAAGGGGAAAAACCATCCTGAAACCTCAAAGGGGATAGCTCCGCAACCAACGGGATTTAAGTGTTTTTCCGTTAGGGAATTGGGGTTGTCCGCAGCAATTTATTTTTCCAAAAGTTTTGGGCTCAAAAGCGTCCTCGTCTGCCTTGCTGCACCAGTGACAGCTATGGACGGTGAAGATGTTTCGCAAGGCGTCTTTGGTCAGTTTTTTGGCATACTTTATGCCATGATGGTCATCCTGGTGTGGGAAGTTTTCCGATGGCTTATGAGCCATTTGACACTCCTGGTGGTTCCTCAGTTCAATCGACAAATGGTGGAACAAGCTGAACTGATGGTGAAGTTGGCCCTGAAAGATCGAGAAAAAGATGTACGTGGGGGAGAAGGTCATTCCACGGCGGCGCCAACTGTAGAAAAAGATGAACATCAGGAAGAAGAACCACGTCCGGGAGAAGATCATAGAAAGGAAAAAAGAAGAAAAACCGAAGAGAGGGATGCTGATCGCGCCCATGACAAAAGGGAAAGAGGAAGAGACCATCGGAGACGGGGTGAAACAAGGCGATCTAGGTCGCCACACAGGGAAAGGAATCGACAACAAGGCGATCGGAGAGTGAAAAAAGCCCTGGCCCTTCTACAGCCGAATCGCGAGGTTCGGAAAGGGTCCCAAAGGGACCGATAGCTCCGCTGCCAGAGGGTATGAAAGCCCCTGGGAGACCGCCACCGAAAAAACCGTCGATGCCAAATCCCAAGGAAGAGGAAAAAGTACCCACCGATGATGAAGAGTGGGGAAAATGGAAGGAACAGAGAGAAGGAGAAAAAATGGCTGATTACCTTGCAAGGATGAGATCAGTCTATGGACAGGCAATACCTGCAGAGCCAAAGGAAAAACCTACAGAAACGACCCGAGCCTCCTCCTCTAAGGCAGCTCCTAAGGCAGCGGCTTACTATGAAGTGGATGGAGGAGAATGGTATTGGTGGGATGGTGCATGGGGTGACAAATGGGAACCGAAAAAGAAAAAGAAGAAGAAGAACAAATACACCGAGGCTGAATGGGAACAGTGGTACAAGGAGCATCCGGAGGAGGACACTGAGTCTTCCCAGGCACCAAGAAGGCCAGCAGAACCGGAGACTCCGCCACCGGCCCAAAGACCAAGGATTCGTCCGGGACAAGATTTAATTCGACGTCCTGAAGACCCAGCCAGCTGGACAGTTTACATGCCTGAGGTGGTCATGCGCGAGGTGGAATATATCATCTCTGGAGAGAGCACAGCATGGATGACAAAGCCGCCGGCCGTAACAGGCTTTGAAGAACAGGGTCAGGCCATTGACATGTGGCATGTTCCAGCCCCTGGGGATTATGGACGAATCACCACAAGAATCCATTACAAATGGAGACAGAATTCATTTCATCCAGATCACCCCACTTTACCGAAAAAGGTCGACCAGTTGGATCCTTACCGGGTCACATTTTTGTGGAATACCCTGGACAGCAACGAGCGAAAAATAATCTTGGATTTTGACTGGGAGACCAAGTGGGTCGAAGACAAGTGGGTGGGATACACCGTTTTCCTTGTCAAACAAGACCCAAGAGATGTGGCGAAAAGCTCACCCAAAAGGAAATAGGTCACACGGAAAAGTACATCGGTGGCTGGAGAAAAAGATCAACAAGACCCAAGGAAAAGATCATTAGCTGCCGGTGGAAAAGACCAATACAGGGAAAAGCTCATCAGCTGCTGGACCCAAAGAACACCGTTGGGCGCTCTTCGAGGACAGCGCTGGTGAGAGAGGGAATTCAAAACCTACGAAGTTAGGGCTGTAGTTTTTCAATTTTTGGAGTCAACCCGAAGTGGAACTCCACGCGACCCTTGGATGAAGGGGGAACCAACACCAGCCTGGGACTATGGCACACGAGGGTCTTCGCCCTTCTGGCTGGGGGAAGGGCGAGTTCCCAGAGGAAACGTGGCCACCCCTGAAGCTTTTGTTTTTGGTGTTGGGGAACCTGGATTCCTGCAAGCAGGAAGGGGGAGTGCGGTTTGGGAAACATGCACAGAGTACCACTGCACCCCCACTAAGGTCTTTTTAAAGTTTTCACAGTCGTTGAGACGTCCTCCGACTGTTGCAACTTTGGCCAAGCCATTCAATTGGCTCAAGGGCCAATCAACTGACTGGCTCAATTTACCGAGCCCAACTTGGAGTGAAAAGGTGCACTTGCATCTGCCTCTTGGTGGGGACCTCCGGGAAGGGTCTCGGTCATAGTCTGAAACCCGTGGTTTTAAATAGCTCGTTTTTTGCCGAGTCAAAGGTACGAGCCCCAACTGTTTCCAACTGTTTCCCGTTGCACTTTCAAAAAAAAAATGGGATTGCGCGGAAAGTTTTTTTGCAAAAAAATGGCGGATTGACAATTTTGGCATGATCACGCCGGGCCGCTCCCGACTGTTTCCGACTGTTTCCGACTGTTTCCGACGGTTTCCGACTGTTTCCGACTGTTTCCGACGGTTTCCGACTGTTTCCGACTGTTTCCGACTGTTTCAGTTTCTCTGGAACGCCAGTTGGACCTGTGGACCACTGATTCAACAAAAATCACAACATTCAACACTTTTCCTCACGACCCTTCTGCGCGCAGTTTGCTCGAAATGACGCATTTTCACTTTGAAACCCAATATACCCTAAAAATCCCAAAACCCCAAGACCTCGTGAAATTTAAAATAACTATATAACTATATAGCTATATAACTATATATATATATAACTATATAACTATATATATATATATATAACTATATATATATATATAACTATATATATATAAAACTATATATATATATATAACTATATATATATATAACTATATATATATACACAATATATATATATATAGTTATATATATATATGTATATATGCATACATATAGCTATATCCTTACATAATCTCTCTCTCCGCCCAGATGGATGCCGCCCTCCGCAGCGGTGGACGGCTCCATGGAGGCGGGCGACGACGAGGACGGACGCGACGCCGCGGGAGCTGCGGAGGTTTCTGGAGGTTTTCCATGGGAAAACGTGGGATTTTCATGGGAAAAACATGGAAAAAACATGGAAAAAACATGGAAAAAATTGGGTTTTCATGGGAAAAACATGGGGTTTTCATGGAAAAACATGGAAAACACATGGCAAAAATGGGGTTTTGATGGAGGCTTCAATGGGATTTACCGGAAAAAACCGAACACATGTTTATGATGGGAAACAAAAAAAATGGAAGGTTGAAATGGGGCAAATTCACGTGTTTTTTTTCGTTGAATTCATAAACCACTATGATAATGGTGCTATGTCATAGGGATATGATGGGAATAGCATGGAAGATTATTGGAATATCATGGAATATGGATGGAGTATGATTGGTGATACCCTGTGGCAATCAAAGGTGGCAGAATGGCACATCCGCGAACTCAATGGAGGTTTAAATGGGAATTTCATGGAACTAAATGGTCGATTTCCAGCTAAATTAATGGATAAATAAACACACTCAAAACACATTCGATGTGCTTTTGTGCTCAACAATAGTGTTAAATATTTATGTTTTGCAAAAAAAATGTTCAAACTGTACTCAACTTCCACTCGACGTTTGTGAGCGGCCAGTTGCCCCCTCGAGGGACTCTTTCAATTTTTGATTACCAGAGGGCAACCCAAAAAAATAGGAAACCAGAACCAAACATGAGAACTTTAAGTAGTAAACATCAAGATCTGATCTAACTTATTTAACCGGCCAAAAAGTGCGAATATGATCAGTTTGCCCACTCGAATGACCTTGTTAGGGGTATACCGCATTTCCAGACACACCCAAGTTTATCCAAGAATGGCAAGTTGAGCGACACCAAAATGGATATCTACAACTTATTTGCAACAAACATGTTTTCCAGGTTTAGGATAGATTCTATATATATATAATATATATATTTATTTACAGTAAATGGTGGATATAATATAGAGTAAGATTGAATAATACAATAAGGGTATCTGGTAGTACCAATGTTTTGACCCATTGCTATCCATTGCCCAAAATCCAGCGGGTGGATGTCTTCAGATTTTTTGCCAAAATCCCTGTGGAGATGGTCAAACCCGCAGTGCTGTAGGATATAGCCATCATTGTTGGATTATCCTCTGGTAAACGTTTACATAACTATAGAACATCACCATTTTGAATAGCCAAATCAACTACAAATGGGCCATTTTCAATAGCTATGTTAAATTACCAGAGGGTACACAAATTTTTCATCAACACTTCGCATCATACACTCTGTCCCAGTTACCATCCAAATCCATTTTAATAGCACCATCCAAGTTGCAATAACTGGTTGGTGGTTTGGAACAGGAATTTTATTTTTCCATATATTGGGAATGTCATCATCCCGACTGACGAACTCAGATTTTTCAGAGGGGTGGCTCAACCACCAACCAGATAATGATTCCCATACCATAGATGTCCTTTTCCCATTGGTTGGTTGATTAATAGAGGGGTTTGAAGAACCCCGTTTAACAACAGGTTTCTATGATGATAGATGGTATACCAAACCATAGAATCATTCACAGGAGTCTAGTCCGGAATCGGGCAGCAGCGATCCCCCCATCAGCGTAGGTGCGATGTGGTGGGATCAGGGCTTATTGCTTGGAGGGCCGACAAGGGACTAAGGCTACAAGCAACAAAAACATCATTTGCTTGTGAATGGGCATGTATTGCTTTATAAGTACATTCCACATTAAAAAAGCACATAAAAGCAACTAGATCATTTACTTGACTTTTCTTCGGGGCAGGGTTGGCAGACCCAACAGAAAGTGGTTAACTATTTTTTTTTTGTGGCCCGGTGTTGGAAGCCTCCAAATCACCCAACATGGACCCGGGCTTGGCTCCCAACATACCCAAATGGCCCATCATTGGCCCAACATAGCCGCAAATCCAACACAGCCCAAATGAGAATGTTTCGATTCTTGACCAGCATTTTTAACTCTATGTTTTCAGTCTTTAGGCCAGCAATCCATCCAAAATCGCCATGTCACTTCAATTTTTTTTGGTGAAATTCACCTAAATTCACCCCGAAATGGTGATTTTCATGTCATTTTTGGAGCATTTTGGGATCGAAATCCTCGACCCTTTCTGGGGTCGCAGGTTCCGAGGACAGCGCCGGTGGCGTGCTGGGCGGCGGGCTGGGCGGCCTTGGAGAACGTGAGCGTGGCGAGACTGCAATTGAGATGGGGATTTGGAAGAGACTGCAATCAATGGGATTGGATTTATTTATTGGGATTGATACCATTTCATGATAGTTTAATTTATCATAGTACCCATTATCATACTATGCAGGTATTCATTGATACTATAGTACCACAATGGGATTTGATAGGATTTCATGGAATTATGATCCACTTATAAGTTATATTCTAGGTATCTAAATTCAATTTTCATGTATTTGGGTCCGTGATAAGCCCACTAGGTAGGCTTTGGGAGAGACTGCAGTCAATTGGATTTCATGAGATTTTCATGGGATGGGAATTTTTTATCCACTTAATGATTGATTTAATGGGATTCAATGGGATTAGAATTCTAAATACTTGGGTATACCATTAAACTACTTGATAAAAAAATGTATCCCCTCTGGTTGAATGGGATTCCGAGGGTTTTTTTGAGCAGTTTAGCTACGGAAAATTTGCCATCAGATGGTCGTAAAAGCTTCTGGCGTCAGCAGTTCCTATGCGTTTTAAGTCAAACCTGCCAGCGTAATCTTCGCATAAGTCATTTTATATACATGCCTGCCGCGTACGTCAAAATTGTTGTCGCGCAAGCATTGCGTAAGGTCCAGCGTAAGCAATGTTATGCGACATAGGCTGGTAGTCTCACGTTTTCGGAGAAGCTCATCTATATCAATGGGAATTCCAGGATCCTAAACTGGAGGTACTGTACCATATACGTCCAAATTTGGGGGTATAGGGGGACCACATATGTTCGTCTATTTTTAACATCTTGACCATTCAATTGTTAGGGTACCCAATCTTGACCCGTACCCAGAGAATGATTCAACAACATTGTCTATTGACTTCATCAGCGAAGCTCGAGTCATTTGATGATATTAAAATCCTACTCCCATTATTCCCATGAACTCTGGTTATAATGTTTATAACACAATTAAAAAACATCCCCTGATTTCACCATATGTATATATATATATACATACATAGATGGGTGGTTTCTGAGATTGTTTTACCCCCATCTCCGTATATTGAAAAATGCTAAAATCTGACCACTAAGCACTGAGGTGCCGTCTCGCCGCCGGAAGGCTCCGTGTTGATTGGTGGCGGCAACAGCGTGTGGCTTGGTGGACAGCGTGGACGTTGCATCGGGGTTGGGAGAAAGGTGAGATTTTTGGGGACCCAAATGGGTAAAGTAACAGTGGAAGCCATGGCCCATTTATGGATGTACCCATTAAAGATGGTGATTTTCCACATGTAAACGTTTACCCTAGGGTAACTGTGAACCTGTATGGACATGCTGGATTCCAGCAAATTCATGGGAAAGTCGCGGGAAACTGAGATGTGGCAAGTTTTTTTTGGGGAAATTTGGATAGGCATGGTGGATTTAAAATGGATTGACTAGCAAATTGATGGGGATTGAAGAATCAAAAATCAGGGATTCTGAAGACAAGACATTGAATGGCCATTCAATTGAACAAATGATAACCAATTTTCTGGGTACCCTACATTCAGACAATCTTTTAGACAAACCTAGATGTGGAGAAATTTAGGTCTTGATCGATATAGATGGATATGGTATATATATATATACATGTATATATATATATATACACATAAATTGACATTTCCGCTGAGAAATCGTTGTAGCATGGCTTTGAGGCTTTGAATCTCGGTTCGGTGATGAGACTGTTCCGGCAGAGACCAGATTCACTGATTCAACCATTGCGTAAATCTTGGTTTTGACAACAACCTGGGTATGCTCTTGAGTAAAATGTCCGCAGATTTTCAGGTTTGCATCCCCATTTCCAATGGTTTAGGGATTGATGATATAAAGACACGGAGCTATAATCTTGTATAATTGGACATGGGGATAGTAACCCACCAGAATGGGATGTGAATCAAAGATTACCAACTATCAGTCAAGGCGAATTTACCATATTTGACCAGCAACGAGTCTGGGGCAACATCCCTGCTCTCTGGCCATGGCAATCGAAGCAGAATTCTGATATAGCATAGATGATATGGCGACCGAACACGGGAGTGAAACAAATACCCATCCAAAATGTTGATTTGACATGCATGATTTGACCAGATGTACAACATATGTACTTATACTTTGATACTGTAATATACAGTAATATCTAGTTTGACTTATAGTTTGATGTTTGATATATATATATATATATACAGTGATATACAGTCATCTACATTCATATTTTCGTGCTTAGATTATCCCTACCTCGCAGCTCCGTGGCGGCCGTCACACGACGTCACACGACGTCACACGACGAGGTCCGAAGATGACATTCTCAACGAGTCCGAGGAAGACGAGCTGTCGGACGAGGCGCGGGCAGCTCCGTTTCGATGTTGCGAAGTGGAGAGAAAATCACCATTTTAAAATGTAAATCTGCGAGGAGAAATCGGTGAATCATCTATAAATGATAGTTAATCTATAGTTTTAATTGGTAAGTCATCTGTTTCTATGGGCCATTTCCGTAGCTATCTTAGTTTACCAGAGGGTATAGACGGTATAGATGATGGTTTTATCATGTTTTATCTACGTGCCATGGTAAAGTTAGTTGGATTTAACCATTAACCATTGGAGACAATAGTGTGATATGCTGGGATATATCTCCAACTATCATCAAAGTTGGACTATGCAGCCATATTCAGGGATGATCATCAATCAATTATATAATAAGGATCTACATACCATGTAAGGAACCTTATGCTACAACCACCTTTCACAACCATTGTGGGGATACTATTCCTGGGTCATGCCAGAATTGATGATGCGAATTGCCCCACTTGAAGAACAAGACTGGTTGGTGGTTCGGAACATTTCTTATTTGTCCATATATTGGGAATGTCATCATCCCAACTGACTGACATTTCTCAGAGGGGTGGCTCAACCACCAACCAGAAGATGTAAGTCCCTGGGTGCAATCCGAGAATTCGAAGCGCATGATTTTCGTAAAGATTGGCCTGTGTTGTCCATAGATCAGCAGAGGGGTGACTAACCAACATGATTTTCATATGGGTATAGACAACTATAGAAACATATACAAACTAAGGGATGAACCAAGCAAGAATGGCGATTTATGCTATCGGGGCAACAACGATTAGTAGCCATGGTTATTTTTCTGGGAAAAATTATGGCATGAGCCACAGTTCCCAAGCTTTGAGCCAAGCTTATTAGTGGATTTTCCCAGGAACACTTCTGTTTATGGAGGTAAAACACTGTCATAAACCACCCATGACTGGAAATGGGAAGTCACCACTATTCACAAAAAATGGTGATTTTCCTGGGGGATGGTGTGTTTATGGCATATGGCAGCCAGTTTTAGCCACATTACATAACCAATCCTCCGAACTTGGAATCCCCATGGCTATGGAAACGCCCATGTCCAGGACATTGGTGGATCTGGACGTCACCAACCCGGCAGTGACTTCGATTTCTGAGGAAAACTCGAGGTTCACTGGGGGAAGGTTGCTTATAACAGAGATTTAATAGGGATAATGGGATTCTTGTGGATTATTCATGAGATTATAAGTCCAATAACTATAGTAGAGCTATAGTAAAGGGGTTTATAAACCAACATTTGGGGGGCCTCAACCTACTTTGGGCGTGACTATCCCAAAGTAACATAGACTAAGGTCAGTGAAATAATGTGAATCAAACAATACCATTTGCACCATCCCTCAAATCACCAGAAATGGGTGGTGTTAGCCATCAACATATGGGTGGTTTATGACATTGTTTTACCCACATTACCCCTGGTAAACTAACATAACTATGGAAAATCACCATGCTTAATGGGTAATCAACTATAAATTGCCATTTTCAATAGCTATTTTGACATAACCAGAGGGTCGTCGAATTGATCCAGATGTCTTGTCTGGAAAATGTCGGGAACATGGAGGTTTAACCAATGAATCATTTCCCAAACTCACTGGATTGGTTGAAGGGAACATCTGCACCGGAAACCATGGTTTTTGTCCCATGAAATACGGGGTTTTCCGGTTCAAAAAATTCCCCAAAAACCCATCCATTTGCCAAGGCATGTTTTTTTTCAAAATTCGTCTGGCGAAGAATCTGGCACCTAAAAAAATGGGAGACGTTACCCACCAATTTGTGGTGATTTATCAATCACAAATTGGTGACTTTCTATAGTGAAATAATGTTAAATGAGTCATGGAAATGGTATCATTGGGAGTTTTATCATTACTCGGATTCTGATCTGTGTCCATTTTTTTTGGGGGGATATCGGGAAAGTACCATATCGTGGCGATTTGAAATTGCAAATGATCAACCATGAAATTTGGGAGTCCCTATTTTCAGTCAAACCCTTCCGGGCCAAGATCATCACCTTGAAAAAGTCAAGAATGCCAAAGCGCTGTCCTGTTTGATTTTGCGTTTTTGGGGTATACCCTATTCCAGACATCTCCATGGTTTTCTTATGTTTTCTTCATTAACATTTCATGTTTGTTGCCTCTCAGCTTTGACCTTGAGTTCTCTGTGCAAATGGTAGCCCAACGGTGGCTACCCAAGCTCCCCAAAAAGTTGGTAGCTCGGTTCAAGACAACGGCAGCGCTTGTCTTTGTTCGAAGGTTGTGTTCCAAGTGGGTCTTTCAAGCAACATGCTGGGGTAATATGGGAGTTTCCTAAAATGGAGGAACCAAAAATGGATGGTATATAACGGAAACTCCTATCAAAATGGATGATTGGGGGTACCTCCATTTTAGGAAACCTCAATATAGCAATCAACCATCAATGACAACGTGTTACATCTTCTTTCCAAGTATTCTCACCAAGACACTATTATAACTGGTGACGAAACATACAACTTAAATTCAATTATCGATCTGGACACGCTGTGCTATGAGTTTACTTGGACCATGGACATCCTTTTCTCACTGGTTGGAGGATAAAATCAAAGAGTAATTCTTGTTTCCAAACCATTTTGGTAAATGATGTGCGAAACAGCATACTACTTCACTGGTCCAGAGACATTTTTTTGACACTGCACCCCCCTAAGTGGGCCCCATCTAGATGATTTTGCTATTGGATATGGCCCAACTATTGGTTTCCAGCTTACCATCTGGTTATTTAACATAGCCATGGAAGCCATGGCCCATAGAAATAGATGGTGGATCTTTCCATGGCTCGGGTGTCCAGAAAGCTCTAATCCCCGATCCTTCGCCATTGTCTTGAAGCTTTGTTTCACCACAGCAAAGGCGCCCCGTAACGTCCGCGAAAGGCGAACTTTCGAACTTTCCATTGCCATGTTGGCCAGCATTTGTGATTGCCACGCATACACCAAATCATTGAAATTGCATGAAATGACATCACATTGTAATTGATTTGAATATTTACCATTGGGAAATTTGATGAAATTAAATGAAATTCCTGTATTGTAATTGGGATCTACCAGTCTTTCTTCCAGAATTTTCCAGCGCTCATTGACATTGGCTGCGCCGGATGTTGCTGGGAGAATTTAGCTCAGCGTTTGTTGACGTCAGTGGCTCGAACCAATGGTGCGGAACATGTGGCTCGATCAACTGTTGGGTCTTAGGGGAAGCCCCATAAGTTGGACGGTTACTAGATGGTAATTATACAAAAAACTATGGAACATCACCATTTTTACTGGGAAAATCCACTATTTCTATGGGTCATTTTCAATAGCTATGTTAGTTTACCAGAGGGTATATACTAGATAGTTGAAAGATCATGGGGACTTGAAACATCATGTTTGGCTTCGAGTCAAATATCTGGTGTGCAAAATTGAAGGTTTCATGGAAAGGACACAAAAACGCCATATTTGGGATGCGATGACCAGATAGTTACTGTAAATAAATAAACATCTGATTTCATCAAACATAGCATGTTTGGCTTCCAATAAGCATCCTTGGCATCGTTGAAAGTTGTGGGAAATTCCATGGCATCCCTTTTTTTGCAACTTCACAAAGAAACATCTGGGTATCAGATCTCAATCTGGTCAATATAGGTTTGTCGGAAAATGGGGTATCCCCATAACCCAGTGGCTAATCATAATTTTCCCTATCAAAATGGCAGTCTATTGAGGGTAATACACATTTTCAGACAAAGCCATACCTTTCACTCCCGGTACACCACTTCTGCTGAAGACCAGTCTGACTCCCGGTTTTCAGACGACACTCAAACTCCAATTCAAAAAGGTCATGGCTTTTGCAAGTAAAATGATTGATATCAATATTTTGTTGCACATTTTGTAATTCCAGTTCAACTATGTGATGGAATTTTGCAACAACATCTGTCACTACTATTGATATTGCAACACACTATGAAACATACTGACATCATAGAGTGTGGTTTCAAATATCTGAGTTTCAATCCTACGAGAAACGTGTCGAATGGACAAGTGTTTGAAACAAGCAACGAGCAGTAGCAATGGTCCAGGATATGCAGAGATTTTTTTACGGAGATATGGAGTGCCATGTGAGGTTCCAGCCACTGATACTGTGGTACATTTATTCCATTTCGTCGACTCGGTGTGCATCCAGTTGAACTCTGTTTGCACTGGATATCTTTGGACCCGAACATTTTTAACGATATGATAAAAGGATCAAAAAGGTGCACTTCAGCTAGAAAACCCCAGTCATCATCCATTCATAGATCGATTTTCCATCATAAACCATCCAGCTATTGGGGTACCACCATTTTAAGACGCCGAATTAAGATCCGATCTTCAACGTCAGCTGAAAACAGCTGGAAAACATTGGAAAACCATCCACTTCTTTGAATTCCTGAAGTCATCTGGGCCACGAGTCGACACCCGAAGCTTTGATCCTGCTGTGCGAATCTGTGGTGGGATTGACCAGCTTTTGAATTCGAAAAAGAATGAGATCGACAGGCGATCCTACGGCGATAGAATGCTGAAAAATAATGGTGATGTAGTGGCGATATACATATACATATATAGATATAACACTAATATATATATATAGATTGACAGTATATATATATATATAGATTGACAGTGTATATACATATAGGTAATACAATGGGAATACAATGTGAGAACCAGGCGACGGGACTGAAAATCCTGACCCATACTCACAAATTAATGAGAAAGTCCAAGGGGATCAGAGGTAATTGAACATAGCCATAGAAAATGGCCATAATCAATAGGTAAATCATAAATGAGTACCTCTGATGGCAATTACAATTATAATGGAAATCATGGTTGATGGCCATCAATAGTAATCATAATGGCAATTACAATCAACAATGAGTAATTACTATGATCAATGAGTACCTCTGATGGCAATTATAATTGATCAACTCTAATTTACCTATTGATTATGGCCATTTTCCATTGCTATGTTCGATTCAGTAGCGGGTATGATTTCCTCCGAATTGTTTCAGGAGATATCTGAGCGCTTCAACAAGGCCCTCAGTGATGTCAAGATACGTGTTACTGCCAGCGTTTTGGTAACGGGGAGCTCCCCCACTTCAGCAGAGTGGTGAACTATGAAATAATTCTGCCAGATTGATTGGTAATTTATCGTGAACAACATATTGAAAATAGAAATCCATGGTGAATCAAAGTTAGTTTTCCCTGAACGGTAATCGCAATGATATCGATATTCATTCATAGTATCCTTGTAGTTAATTTACCATCCCTATCCATTGGTTATCTATACTTAATGATATGGGTAATGACAGTTCGTAAATTGTACTTGATTATCCGTAGTTAATTATAGTCAACTATTTTCAGTTATAGTCACTTATAGATTGTTAACTTTAGCCAACACTTAAACACCTAACAATATCAATTCAATTAACTAACCATTTGTAGGGATGAAGTAAACTTTAAGTGTCTGGAATGTCTATAACAAATATTCCTAAACTGTAAAAGCAATGATATGGATACTCAACCCTGGTTGACTAGTTCATTATCCCTATAGTCAATTTGAGTTTCACCATCCCTACTGTGGATGGTTGCGAAATCCTGCACCACTTAATAGATGGTTTATCCGTTTATCCCATTATTTATAGGGTTTCAACCATCCTTTTGGTGGTGCAGGAACCATCCACAGCATGCTATCCACGGATCATCTTTAGCTAATGAGGAGGAGGTCTCCTAAGATGGCAGTACCCGCAAATCATCCAGTCATCAGACCATCTTTTTTAGTATTGAAACAACCATGGTGGCTAGGGGATCTCCCAATTTACGAACCCGGATGGGGCCTCAAAAATAGCTAAGTCAACCAAAAAATGTGGCTTAACCATGGTTTATGGTGGATGTACAGTAACTAGTTGATTGGGGAAAAAAAAATGTTATTGATCGCCAACTTAGAAAAGTAGGGGGCACCATCTTGTATGGATCATCAACGAGGGTCGGGTCGTATCCAGCCTGAGAGGAAGACATGGACGACGTGGACTACGACGAAGACTTCGAGGAGGCGGACGAAGAGGCAGCGATGGCGGGACGCGGTGGTTGTTGGCCACGT